TTTAAATGCGATTAATAACTTGATAATTATATTACACAACAGTGAAAAGTTTGGAAGCCTACATCAAATAGTTTTTATGTACTGATAACAAACGTCTATGTAGATACTTTATATTTGTAGTGTATATCATCAATTGACCATGATGACTATTGTTTGACTCTATTTTCTCAATATGATTGTAGATATTGGGGTAATCGTGATATGAATATTATCAATATTAATCATGATGTTTTAGAATTTTACGCTGGATTTGTATTAAATATATCGCAATTTATGCACAAACATATCAAGATACATTTGCATTACGCGTGGGAATTAATCTATCAAGCTGATGACAAGGGGGCGCTGCATATCAATACAATTAGTAGCAATGTGTGCATCATCAAATTTAGAAAAAGCTTGGTAAAATATGATTTCCGATACAACAAACACTGTTTCAAACATGGTCAAACACGTGATGGGTGTATCAGCGAGTGCCGATTGGACAGGTGTTATATTAAGTTACACAAATATGAATATGATAAACAATACTTATGCTATCAATTTGACGTGGATCGTTTAAATACAAATAAAACACCAAACATTGAATACAACATTAGTGAATGCGAGCGCCGGTGCGACCGACGAGTTCAGTGTATTCAACATTATTATGGCATTGATTTTGATAAAGATATGGGTCTTAATCCATATAATGGTTATATAATAATGTTTGAGACACCGTCGGAGCCCGAAATGATATACACTATAACACAGAAAATGCCAGTCGAAGAGTACCTGTGTTTTGTGGCCAGTCTTCTGGGCCTATGGTTTGGCTTCTCTGTAATAATGTTATCAAATAGTTTGCAACAATTTTATAGGAAATATATGCGAAATATAATTATGAAAAATAATTTTAAGTTCAACATTAATAATATTGGCTTATCCGACAAATAGCGGGACTTTTTTGTAACGTTATGTTTGACCAGGTCTAAAATTTTTTTGTTATGAGCCAGGTCATCGGTTCCAACTCTCATCAATACATGTGTTTAATGTGTTTACATTTATGTCAAAAAAATATTAAAGTTATTCCAAGCAATGTTGATTTTACCCGAAGACACGATACCGAACACATTTGAAATTTTAAACTATTTTAGTTTTTGCTCATGAGGATTAGTAAATTGGCTGATAAAAAAATATATATCAGTTTTAGGTGATGTATTATTTACCAATTAATATTATAAATTGTTTAATAAGTCTGTACCCATTGGTTATGTCCACTAAAACCGCACCCGAACGGGCCGACCCCGGAAATTAAAAAATCATGTGCCAAATTATCGGGATGTGTCATATCAATGACATCCATACATGAAATTATTGGTCATTATGTGCTTTCACTGACCAACATTATATGACCACTTAAAAGCGATTACTCCGGTATCTGGAGCCGATAATTAAACATATGTAAAAAATATGGCTATTTTTGGCCTATTTTTAGACCATATTTTTCAATAATCACCCGAAAAAAATTAGAGGACTTTGAGTGACAAATGTCTCCACACCCACCATATACTCCAGTTATCCCACTATCACATGACTGTTAATACCATTCTCTCGTGTCATGTTTTAGGGGTGCAAAATGCTAAACAAAAGTAGTGGTCGAAACAGACATCATTCACTTCTTTGACTCGCAGGGCAGTCATTTTTATCGGGAAGTGAATAAAAATTTGTCTGAAAGATGGCCAATAGTTGCCGATAATTATAGCTATTTCATAATTTGAATTAATTTTTTTAATCACAATAAAAATGAATTTTCTATTTTCTATTAAATCAGTCCCGTTTCTTTTCGGATAATCCAATAGTAGTCAATTCGTAACATTTGCCGTAAGAGTTTACTAGAAATTGTAAAATTCATTTTAAAATAACAATTTTAATTATGTATTAAACATTTAAAACAAACAAATTATAAACCTTTATATCATTTGGTAATCAATAACTATTAAGAATGAAAATATAGTATGGCGTGGAAATAAAGTCATCTAATTCAGCCCTAATCATTTTTGGCGTTATTAATTGCCTCGAAAAGTAGCATAGTGATTGATCGATAATGTGGCCCAGTTGGTTCGGGTATGCTTGACCAATCGCACTGAGGTTTATTCAATTTCCAGGGTATTAAATTGGTCAATATTAACAAATGTGCTCTGAAAAGTGCTTTGGCAGTCAAGTCTGTCAACACCGCTTCTGTACTGCCCACCCATTTGTCGAGATAGCTATTGTTTTGAACCAATCATAATTTGATTTCAATTCATACGTCATTATTATCTAGATACCAGTATATGTCGGATAATTTATAGCCGGCTCCGGGTTGTGCCGCGTGTACCAACGCACGGGTGAATAAGGTTCGGGCGGATTGCATATCCTTGTTGCTGTCGTGTAGCTGTTTCAAGGCAACGGGCATGTTCACCGCTTTGCCACTGATAAACGTTTTGCACGCGTTCGTCACGTGCGTTCGGTAACTCAATATCTTATTTACTACTTTCATAATGGTCGGATTGTTGCCGTACCACTCTTTCATCAAGGCCGTATTACTGGATAGAGAGTTCATGTCTGTCCTAAAATTGAGCATAATTCATTATGTGACTATTCAAAGACGGGTTATACATCTCCTGGATCTTCTAGATCAGATCACACCAACATGATGGTTAAACTAGAATTTTGTCTAAGAATATTACTTGACCTCAATTTACTGATAAGGTATGCACTAAACACGGATACGATGCTTTGTGTACTTTTTACAGAATATAATTATTTCATACGTTATTAATAATTAAGAAAACGCAATGTCCGAGATTAATTGAAAGCCCGTTTATATTAATAAATAAATTACACTTACATTTTACAATATTCTTTGACTCCATCGGGAGTGTACTTCATAGGGTGATCCGGGTCACCGTAGCCAATACCAGGATTTATTTGTGTATCAAATTCTTGTTTAGTTATTGCACCAACATCAATTACTAAACAATTTTATAAGCAAATATGATAATTCTATAGCACATTTTTAAATATTTTAAATCATTTATAGTATACTTAATTTTGAATCAAAGTTACGGCTATTTATATAGCGCTTACCTTTGATTGAAATAATGGAGAATAATACCAAAATTAAATTGTTCATCATTATATTTTATAGTGTTTATTATATTTAGTCACTAAAAATTATAATTGTCAATTATGGCAGTCGTAAAGATACCAGATGGTTAAATGTTTAATTTAAATTTATTAATCAAATTAATTAAATAGTATTGTTTATTACTTGTACTCCGTATTTAAAAGTATTGAATTAGTACAACCGTATGATATAAGTTATAATTATCCCAACAATTATCAAGTACATTATTTGAAATTGGTAAGTGATAACACTTTTTGTCAATACCAAGTATACTGAAATTGTGATAAGATTCCATCTGGGATAATTAATTATGTTATAATTGTGTTTAATAAGTTGTGATCAAACAAAAAAGATGAGAAAATAATGTGTAAATAAACTAAATATTATAATTAAAATTCATATTCCCTTTTGTATGCTACAAAATAGTGTTAATATTTTAAAAATTCATATCAAACTCATTATTGTACTATTGATAAAAGATCACTAACGAGAGTTGTTACCTGCAACCAAAATGACCATGCCAAACGTATTCACAAAGTTGACCCCGAAAGTGACGTTCGCCGAATCCATACCAAATGAGTTGAAAAACAAGGACTACTCCAACGCCCGACACATCTCAGGCCTGACCCACGAGATGCTCGTGTCGTTTGAGATCCGGGGTCTGGTGGGGGAGCAGACGGGCCGTAACCCTCACTACACCAACTCATTAGCCGACACTAACCAACTGCTGACCGAATCGTTTGGCAAACCGCTGACCGACAGCATTGACATCACAGGCGGCACTGATTTAACCTTTACCACCAAAAACCTGATATATGCGCGAACTATCAACTTTTGGGTGGTTATGGGCTTAATGCTTGACGATCACCTTGATCACATTGTGACCAGCGATGGCGCCAACAAACATGTTGTGTGGTAAGTATATTGGGTGGGGAGAGGATAGGGACCAGACCTGATGCTTATAAATATATGTCAAAACATGGATCCGATGGCACAGCGAGTGGCAGAAGAAGTATTTGTTGGGCAAAAGTGACGGCACAACAGGTTTTGATAAACTGCTGGTAAAGGCTTTGGGAATGACTAAAAAGATGTTGACGGCTGACCAATACGTGCGGCACGTGATTAGTGGCGTCGCTTGGATTGGCTCATCACTCAATCAGACAAAGTTCACTAATAAACTCATGACTTATGAAGAGTTTTGGTATAACAGGTAGAGAGAGAGAGAGAGAGAGAGAGAGCTATTATAAGCAGTGTTTAATATTTACAATATAAAAATATTAAATTAAAATTGTTGTTGTTAATAACGAGTTTGTAATTGATGTTGGTGCAATAACTAAACAAGAATTTGATACACAAATAAATCCTGGTATTGGCTACGGTGACCCGGATCACCCTATGAAGTACACTCCCGATGGAGTCAAAGAATATTGTAAAATGTGAGTGTAATTAATTAATTAATATAAACGGGCTTTCAATTAATCTCGGACATTGCGTTTGTTTAATTACAAATAACGTATGAGTTAATTATATTCTGTAAAAAGTACACCAGCATCGTATCCGTGAAATTTAGTGCATGCCTTATCAGTAAATTTTGGTCAAGTAATCTTGTTAGACAAAGATCTAGTTTAACCATGATGGTGGTTCGGTCTGATCTAAAAGATCCACGAGATGTATAACCCGTCTTTGAATATTCACATAATGAATTATGCTCAATTTTAGGACAGACATGAACTCTCTATCCAGTAATACGGCCTTGATGAAAGAGTGGTACGGCAACAATCCGACCATTATGAAAGTAGTAGATAAGATATTGAGATACCGAACGCACGTGACGAACGCGTGCAAAACGTTTATCAGTGGCAAGGCGGTGAACATGCCCGTTGCGTTGAAACAGCTACACGACAGCAACAAGGATATGCAATCCGCCCGAACCTTATTCACCCGTGCGTTGGTACACGCGGCACAACCCGGACAAGGCTATAAATTATCCGACATATACTGGTATCTAGATAATAATGACGTATGAATTAAAATCAAATTCTGATTGATTCAAAACAATAATATTAGCTATCTCGACAAATGGGTGGGCAGTACAGAAGCGGTGTTGACAGACTTGACTGCCAAAGCACTTTTCAGAGCACATTTGTTAATATTGACAAATTTGATACCCTGGAAATTGAATAAACCTCAGTGCGATTGGTCACACATACCCGAACCAACTGGGCCACATTATCGATCAATCACTATGCTACTTTTCGAGGCAATTAATAACGCCAAACATGATTAGGGCTGAATTAGATGACATTATTTCCACGCCATACTATATTTTCATTCTTAATAGTTATTGATTACCAAATGATAATTTATAATTCGTTTGTTTTAAATGTTTAATACATAATTAAAATTGTTATTTTAAAATTAACTGTACAATTTCTAGTAAACTCTTACGGCAAATGTTACGAATTAACTACTATTCTTAATAATTAATTATTTATGTAATTGACCATAACTAATTTACGTTTAAATTGTGGACAACTATTTAATAATAAAAGTAATTAAATTTTGTAATTAATTTTCGTGATTTCTCATACTAGTAATAATATTTAATATTAAAAGTCTATAATTTTTCTAAATATAAACCATATGCTATAAAATTTAATGTCAACAATGTTGTTTAAGTTACTTAATTTAATTGTGATGCAAAAATGTATGAATATATTATTGTCTTAATCTTGTGCTATGTTTTATACAATTTATTCTATAGAAAAACAGATCTTAGAATAGACAAGGTAAGTTTTGTAATCACGAATAGGAGAGAGAGAGAGAGAGCTATTATAAGCAGTGTTTAATATTTACAATATAAAAATATTAAATTAAAATTGTTGTTGTTAATAACGAGTTAGCCCGTGTTTGATCATGATGTAAATGCTAATATTGAAACCACTCAATTCCCGAACACATGGATTGTTGTCATGACGTCCAAAGATCTGGCCCTCAATAGTGTTGTGCCGTTTGAGATGTGTGGCCAACAATTGGTGGCATTCAGGGGTGGATCGGGTGCTGTCCACGTGTTGTCCGCCTATTGTCCGCATTTGGGCGCAAATCTCGGTGTCGGCGGACATGTGGTGACTGAGTCAGAGTCGGGNGCGCAAATCTCGGTGTCGGCGGACATGTGGTGACTGAGTCAGAGTCGGGCGACGACTGTATTCAGTGTCCATTCCATGGCTGGAGGTTTGGCGGCGCAGACGGACAGTGCAAACGCATACCTAATCTCAACGGTATTTCTATAGTTTAGACTTGAATTAAATAAAAACCAATTAATATTGACTTTCCATAGACTCTGAGTTAAAGGCAGTGAAAGCTGTGGTAAAGAAATGGCAGACAATAGAGAGGAATGAATTGATATACGTTTGGCATCACTCGCAGGACTCGGACCCCGACTATTATCCCGAAGTCTTAATTGTCAATTACGGCCACAATCTATCGCTTATAGGGAGTTGTGCTCAACTTATACACACTAACTATCAGGTAAATTAAGATGTCATTCATATACTTTTAAACTCAAAATTATTTACAATTACAATATTTATTAAGTTATCCAATAATAATAACAAGCGTTGTAAAGCTTTATAACTATATTTATTACAATGTCATAGCTTGTCATAGCTTTCATAATTAATGTTAATAAGTAAAATATTGATAATATTACTAATTGATCATGTTTTATGACAATAGATAGTGTTGGAGAACGCATCCGACTTACAGCACTTCCATTACATACATCAGGAGATCATACCATATATAACTAGATTGAAGTTCTCATTCAATGACATAGAGAAGGATCATGTGGTGAGCTGTAGAATGACCATCTATTTACTGGGCTGGCAGTTAGTCACTGTACCCATCAAAATATGTCACGTGTCGTCAGTGATTGTGGTGCTATACATTGGCTCAGAGGACTCGATGCTGGGCACCGTCGTAATGTTGGGAACTACTATTCCAGTACAGCATGGTCATACGCTATTAAGAGAAATATTATACTATAAACCATCTATTTTGAACAAGTTGTATTCTATATTATTCACGTATATACAGAATATAGTGGTATAGGATGTTGTTATAATAGGTCAATTGTGACTCATACGCAGATATTTATTGATTTTATAGATTAATCCGGATGTTATGATATGGGTGAATTACCAGCAACCTAAGCGCCCGATGTTTACACGCAATGACGAGCTTATAGTTAAGTATCGGCGCTTTTGTCAACAGTTTTACACTAAATAAATTTGATTTTAACACAATCAAGCTTAATAATTATATTTTTGTTTATTTTAAATTATTTATTTATAAATTGATTCTCTGGTTAAACGTTTCAAGACATTTCATGTCCGCCATTCAGTGTCCTCAACTCAAGAGACTGACCGTTCAAACGGCCAATAGATCCCAAAAAGTGGTTTTCGGTTACATTGAAATAATTAATGAAAAGGCCTGGGCTATCGACTAATAGGTTACTGGGCCATGCTGGCCTGGTCACCATTTGACATGGATATGATAACACATGCCAAGAGGTGTTCGTGAGTGGTGTCAAGTCCGTCGCAGGACTTCGGGTTCGGGAGTAGTGACCACTTTTATCGGAAACATATTTTGTCATTTTTGTTATGTATTTGATGTATTACTATGTCATATGGCATATCAATCGAACGGATTCGATGAGCAAAACATATTTCCGAAAAAAATCAATTAATTCGGATATCAAATAAAAAAGTTATCACAAAAATAAACCTAGCACTAGAATTTGTATGTTATGAGTGATTTAGACGTTATTTATGGATAAAGTTCACTTTAATTCTTATTTAATTACTAATTAAGATATAACATTAATGAATATATTAAATAACAAAACATAAAAAATTTGCAAATTTTTAAATTAATTTTTTGTGATAACTTTTTTATTTGATATTCAAATTAATTGATTTCTTCGGAAATATGTTTTGCTCATCGAATCCGTTCGATTGATATGCCATATGACATATTAATACATCATATACATAACAAAAATGACAAAATATGTTTCCGATAAAAGTGGTCACTACTCCCGAACCCGAAGTCCTGCGACGGAATTGACACCACTCACGAACACCTCTTGGCATGTGTTATCATATCCATGTCAAATGGTAACCAGGCCAGCATGGCCCAGTAACCTATTAGTCGATAGCCTTATCCTTTAAATACTTGAAAATATTTGAAATGTGGGACTGCGGCCGAAGACCTGTATTAAGCGCCGGTCAAATTAATCAATGCAAACAATTAACGCATTTATCGTAGGATTGTTGGGCCAACGACTCGTTTTTCACATGCATTTCAAACAATTTCCCAAAACGTGAATATCTGAACATAAAGTGTGCGGAAATAACTGATGCAGTATTGGATTGTTTGTCATAAAACCATACAAACACTTAAGATGTTTAGATGTTTAGACTCGAAGACAGTAAACATAATCAGTTGTCGTAAGGCATCACATCCGTTGCCAATAATTGCCCTAAACTTCAATATATAGACATAAAATGTGATAAAATAATAGATAATGTGTTTAATTCATTATCAAAATTGCCAAAATTACAGACAATTAAATTTCAGGACACTAAACATTGAACACCATCTGCTCTCCAAAATCTCATTAATAATTGTACTAAAATTATATACATATTTAATAATGATATCACGATTATTTTATAAATGTTTAAAAATAATTTAATAAAACTTGATAAAATACAAAGTAAAAAAACTGTTTAATAATATTAAAAATTTAATATTTAACCTATTATTTAATAATTAATTTTTATAAGTTATAAAATTAACTCGTAACAATTTTATTATAAAACGAAATAAATAATTTTATATATGGTTAGAAATGAATGACAAATTAAATCAACAATATAACTTGAAACAATCTTCATAGTCTATATCAAACATAAGTCCCTGTTTACACATCAGGCAATACTCTTCCGGATGGGAACCTCTTGTCACACGTACGACACCACCACCGCTATCGGCACCGGGTATTACTGACCCCTTCACCACAGCCACCAACACGTGTAAAACACACAAATATAATATACACCTTAAATACTTGTATATAAATATCATTTTGTTCATGATGATCAGAGTCAACTTTTTAATAAATTTCCAATGAATTTGCACAATATGGTGAATTGCGATTTTAATGAATTAAAATGATCATGTTCTGTACTATTTTGTACAATATGTGAAAACACAGATAATAATTAAAAATGTATTGTTATTTATAGAGTTCATGTTCAAATAAATATAATAAAAAATGAGTTTTTTGTCTCCGGATAAATGTCTGCTTACGTCTATTAACGGTGCAAATATGGTAATAAAGTAATGACTTATGCGTTTGGGACTAAAATAGTGATTTATTGCTATACATATTTAGTATAATAGGAACTAATTATACGCAAAATTAAACGCTTAGTTATAAGGATGACAAATAAATATATTAAAATTAAATTATCGAGTTTATTAAATTGAACATCAATTTCATATACGATAATATTTAATTATGAGACAAAGTATGTGATGATAGGAAATAAATTAAGATTCATTAAGTGTTGTCACGATATTATTTTAACAATATAATTTGTCGCACTCGTCCATGGTCGAATCGAATAATAAACCCTGTTTACACAAAATGCAGTACTCGTCCGGAGGGTAGCCCTTATCCAAAGCGCCCGAACTGTCGACCACTGCACCCATAATCATAACTGGCCACACGTGTAATGAACACATGTATAACAAACACATCATATACATCAATATATCGTATATAAATCCGTATAATCCACTCATTGTAGTTATATTGTGATTCATAATATTTTGTGATAGATGTTTTATTCACTAATTAATGTTACAATGTATGTAAAATATATATTTTACGTCTTGTAAAACATAGCGTTTAAGCACAAAACAAAAATGTCGTTTTAGTAACTTTTTTAAATATCCGGCTAAAAGTAAAAGTGTTAAAAGATATACAATTATAAATCATTATTTTACTGCTTTACAATGTAAGTTAATAGCATACTCTCAATTGCTATGCATTCTGCGCAAACTTATAAAACAATTACTAAACAGAATATTACATATAAAACTGTAGTTTAGTTTATACTACAACTATAAGTTAACCAGAGGTGTAATTTAGAAATTATTTAGAAAACAAAAAACACTACTGCCAAAAATGGCAACTCTAACCACTCGTTTGATTATAATTTGTAAGTTTGATTATATAAAACGATAAGAAAATACCATAGACTTAAATATGGCATCAATATAATATAAATTACAGTTGACATTCGGTTTTGACAGGCGCGATTTTAACAGAATTCGGTTTGAACATAACATTTTGTTAGCACCGGCGAGCCTTATGCAGACTGTAATGTTATATAGCTCGATTTTGACACATTCGATTTTAACATATTTCGATTTTAACAGTGAATTTTCACTGGCTGTATAGCATAACTCTATGGTTCGATTTTAACACATTGAATGTTATGTTATGTTTTGACACATTTTTCATGAAAAAATATTGATCAAAAACGTAGAAAGTGCTTGAAACTAAGCACAAAATTATTAAATTAATTGCCAAAATGTTAATTACAATTAAATTGTGCTCCAATTTAGTGATCAATATGAAATAAATGCTGTATTTCATTAAAACAATTAATTTAATGCACATTTCAATGATATTCGATTTTAACAGAATTCGATTTTGACACATATTTTTAACAGCACAGAAAAAATGTCAAAACCGAATGTCAACTGTACTTACCATCACTAATCAAAAGTAACATAACTGAAATTTCTATTGACGAGGTAAAACTTGTAAACGATTTTGAACTAGCGCAATTACAATACGCTACAATACAAAGATTGATTAAGTGTGTTTTTATTAAATATCAAATATTTGATTTTAAAAATTAAAGTAAATGCAAAATTGTTTATATTTTCAAATAATATGTTTTATTTGATTATTTAAAAACGATTACATAATAAAATATATACTTATAAATGAATTGTAAAAATATTTTGCATTTCGTTTGTGAGGAGACAATCAGTCACTAAACTTTATAATAATTATTATTAAATTATTAACCATATGTTAAATAATTTATAATCATTAATAATAATTCATGTGAAAAATAGTGAATTATAAAACTAATAATTCATTAATTATTTTGTGTATTTAATACATTTCCAGCTCTGGTCGGACAATATTGTGGCCAAAAATATAACAAAAAACATAACAATTATATTACAATATAAAAGTAGTTTATAGTGTAGTATTCATAATATTAGAGCAATTGGTTTCTTATAGTAAACTAACAAATTAAGTGTATATTTGTTTAAGGAATTTATTAGATGTACACAAAAACGTTAATTTTATAGATTGTACAAATAATGTACACAATATAACTAAATTAATGCGTTTGTTTAATATCAAGGTGGTTATTAATTTTAGATGAGCCAAATATATCATAATATTCTGCATTCAAATTATATTAGTATTTTCTAACAGAATATTCTAAATTATTGAGTAATTATTAATATTTAAAATGACATAATAATTGAATACTACTTTATATTTACATGAATTAATTTATGTCTAGTATTGTTTTGATTGATTGAATAGGAAAACAATAAAAATCAAATAAAACTACTTGTTTTAGTTACACACAAAAAGTGTATCATTTTTTAGAAACAAAATTAATATACAAATGAAAGTAAAATGAAACTCAAAAATATCGTAAACCAAATCCTAATCATGAAATTAATGATACAAATTGTTGACACAATTTAAGCGGACTTATATTCATTAGAGGTGTAATCACTGGTGTCTCGCCATTGCGTCAAATCAATGGTTGGCAGTACGTGGCACTCAACCCGTGGGTTACTGTCATAGAAAAAACATGGTTAGAATTATGACCTAGCTAGTTCCCACAAATGTCCATAATTTATTGCATACTGTATTCCTAATTCGTAATTAAAATTATAGTGTCCTAAAAATGAAATACTCACTGCTTAGGGTTAGCCTTCAACATGGGATACAACTGAATGGTGGTCATATCATCGGAATTCTCGCAAAGCAACCTGGACAATTTAGCCTTGCGAATCTCATTGACCTGTTCAATGGTGAACTGTGAGGGCCAGCCCTCGTTCTCGTACCAAAACCTGTCGCCGCGTCTGACGTGTGAAAACTGTTCGCCAATAATGCAGGCGAATGTGGGGCCGACCATAGCTCCCGGCAACGGGTACTCCGATATGCCGGCCGACCACAGGTCCAGATCATTGATGTCTTTATATAGACTCAGATAGCGTTGAATAGTCTTATTGGGGAACAGACCGTTCAGGTCGTAGAAAGATTTGAGCTTGGGCAAACCGCAGTACTCCCGGTACTCGTTATAGCCGGGTAGGCCCATCTCCCGACCGCGTTGAATATTCATGGCGGCCAAGTCCAGGCCGAACTTTTCACCAGGCTTCTCAAACAGGTGATTGGTCACTTCGGTGGTAATCTCGCTGTCCATGCGGTACGTCTGCTGATTGACCAGACCTAACATGAATGAGTCCACAGCACCGGGTTTGTAGAGCTCGTACGGCTGTCGCAATAGCGCCGATAGACGTATGGATTCTGGCAATTATGGTAAAACAATTTATGGCAATTAATTTATGGGCACAACAAGAATGTAAATAATTACCGATTTTTTCGTGATATTTATTATAGCGTTCGGTAACGTCGGGCAGAATGGAGTGCCCGAACCGGAAGGCCGCCGCCTGGAAAGCTGTGCGAATGCCGGGGTTAACCTTCGGGTCGTAGCCCTTATAGTAGCCTTTGGGCATCAGATCGAGGCCGTAGTTGGCCATCGCTTTGCGGCCAATAATGATGGGCAGAAACTCGTTGAACGTCAAGTGCTGTGCCATCGCGCCGATGATGCGACGGGTCTCCTGATACAGTTGCTCGTCATCCCAGTGCGGGTTAATGTGTTGCAAAGCGCCGGCTATGCGGTTGTGTTCGCGCATCCAAACCGTGTGCATTACCGTCAGCTGCAACTGTTCGTTGAGTCGCTCGTCTCCGCCGTCGAAACAGTACATATTGCGCGCCCGTCCCGTGCGTTCGCACCCCAGCTCCGGGTCCTTCACCTTCATGGGCAGTAAGTCTTTCATTCCCAGCTCGTGGTAAATGGGAGACGTTTTGAGTCGACCACCGCTGAACTCCCGCAGTCGAGTGGACACCTCTTGGGTAGAGCCGTAGATGAAGTTGGCGTCGATGTAGGAGGAGATGGAGTTTTGTTGCGCGCGCGGCCCGAGTGGACAGTTGGGTTTGACGCCCGGCAGCGATCGCAAAAAGTCCATACATTGCCGGTCGAAGTACTTGTAAAACGGATCGTTGGCCGGGATTTGGATCGGATAGCACTGCGGGTGCTGGTCCTCAGGCCGGTGCTCACAGCACTTGATTGACTCGCTTTTATCATCTTGTAATTAATGCGCAAAAATTAAATATTAGTTTTCAATTACTTTTTTTTATTAGTAATAAAACTTGTTTTTCAATACCTGTTGGCGACGGCGCTAATGTCAAGTCGTGGTCAATCATCTGACCCCAGGCTATGGCCAGGTATGTGAGGTGTCTGTCGTGTGCGCTAATGTCCTGATGAAGAATGAATGAGACGAGTCGTGCCGGCGGCAGATGTGAGCCGTCTTTTGCCCGCTTGGGTTCAGTAATGCCTTCGAGAATAACACAAAAAAAT